GTCCTTAAAGAGGTTTAAAGGTGGATTTAAATACATATTTTGTAAGAACCTTTCAGTGCCTTAGGCATAGATTTTTTAAATAACCAATAAAGGCTTTAGGCGTACACCTATCAAAGCAAATTTCCGTGTTTAAGGCGTCGATTTTTTAAATAAAGTTTTAAATATTTTTCAAGGGCTTTAGGCGTGGACCTACCTAAGATAATTTTAGTAGTTTAAAGTTTTTTATAATATATTTTTAGAGGGCTTTCTCAGTTATTGTATTTTTTCAAAACTATGTTTAAAGCTCTTTCTCAAAAAATTGCGTGAATTTTAAAAAATATATTTTTAAAGGAAATTCTCAACCAAAGACGTGTATTTTTAAAGAATTTTTTTGCAAAGGATATTCCGAACAAAATGAGTGAATTTTTGAAGAATTTTTTTTTCAAAGGACATTCCGAACCAAAGGCGTGGATTTTTAAAGAATATTTTTTCAAGAAAATTCCGAACCAAAGGCGTGGATTTTTAAAGAATTTCTTTTTCAAAGGACATTCCGAACTAAAGGCGTGGATTTTTAAAGAATCTGTTTTTCAAAGGACATTCCGAACCAAAGGCATGGGTTTTTAAAGATTTGTTTTCAAATGGCATTCCGAACCAAACGCCTGGATTTTTAAAGATTTTTTTAAATTACATTCCGAACCAAACGCGTGGATTTTTAAAGAATTTTTTTCAAAGGACATTCCGAACCAAAGGCGTGGATTTTTAAAGATTTTTTTTCAAAGGACATTCCGAACTGAAGGCGTCGATTTTTAAAGAATTTTTTTTCAAAGGACATTCTGAACTAAAGTCGTGGATTTTTAAAGAATTTTTTTCAAAGGACATTCCGAACCAAAGTCGTGGATTTTTAAATATTTTTTTCCAAGGACATTCCGAACCAAAGTCGTGGATTTTTAAAGAATTTTTTCCAAGGACATTCCGAACCAAAGTCGTGGATTTTTGTTCAAAGAACATTCCGAACCAAAGTCGTGGATTTTTGTTCAAAGGACTTTCCGAACCAAAGGGGTGAATTTGTAAAGAATTTTTAACAAAGGGCATTCCGAACCAAAGGCGTGGATTTTTAAAGAATTCGGAACCAAAGTCGTGGATTTTTAAATATTTTTTTTCAAAGGACATTCGAACCCAATGCGTGGATTTTTAAAAAATTTTTTTCAAAGGGCATTCCCAACCAAAGGCCTATTTTTTTAAAGAATTTTTTTTCAAAGGACATTCAGAACCAAAGGCGTGGATTTTTTAAGATTTTTTTTTTCAAAGGACTTTTCGAACCAAAGGCGTGGATGTTTAAAAAATTTTTTTCAAAGGAGTTTTCGAACCAAATGCGTGGATTTTTAAAGAAAATATTTAACAGACTTTAATTGATAAATCTTATAGTCTTAAATATAAATTTTGCAGGACATTCAGAGTATAAAGGGCGGATTTTGGGTCATTTTCAGAAGAGTTTTCCAGACAAAAGTGTGGATTTCTTCCAACGTATCTTCAAACCCATAGGACGAGATTTATTAAAACATTTTTATAAAGCGATATGTAAACACTTTTAAATATTATTTTTCTAAGGGCTTTTTAACGCCTACATTGCTGATTTTTAAAAGGATTTCAGTGTCTAAAGCGTGAGCCTTAAATAATATTTTTCAAGAGACTTTTTGAGCTTTAATTGCAGATTTATTAATAATATTCAGCTAAGAAATTATAAGAGCTCAAAACTTCAATTTTAAAATCAATTTGTTTCAAAGTTCAGATTCTAAATCGTAAATTTTTGAGGAACATTTTTAAGGACTTTCGGAAGCAAGAACTTTCTTTTTAACGACAGTTTTTAAAGCCAAAAGAGTAAAGGTGTAATGGTGTAATGGTTATTATTTAAGGAAGGAGTCAAAACTTTTGCTTTCTTAGCCATATTGTATAAAGGAATTTCAACATCATAAGTGCGGATTCCAAAGCAAATCTTAGTAAGGACTTTCAGAGCCAAGAAAATGGTATCCTAAGCCCACACGCAGAGAAGGATTATGGTTGCAGCAACTATATTCGAAGAGCATAATGTTATGGTTGGGATATGGCTGCGGCAACCATAGTACTATGTTGAAGCAACCATATTATATACAGAACATTTTTGACATAAAATTTAAGTTTTTAACAACATAATGGTCACTGTAAAAATAGTTGTTGTTCTCTTCCAAACATACTGTTGTTCCCAACTAACCATGTAATGGTTGCCCCCAACCATTTATTGTTCTTCAAGTAATCATACCATGTTCATGCGAAACCATACTGTGGTTCCCATATAAACATAATATTGTTCTAAATAATCATACCATGGCTATGAAATAACCATGTTATTGTTCAATGTAACCATACTATCTAACCATGTTATAATTCAGGATAACATAATATGGTTACATGCATTAAATTACCTGTGAATAAAATACATTATTTATTTATAACAAATTTTATTTTATTTAATACATATACATATATACATTTTACGACAAATCAATTTAAAAAATAAATTATTTTCTTTATATATACAAACGTTACTTACATAAGGAGATTCAAGGCATTTTATGTTAACCGATAGAAAAATGTCCTCGTAATCGATAGGGAACGCACGGTAGTGAGCAGCAAAACCGTGATTTAAAAAAGCCATAAAAACCATTCTTAAAGAAAAGACTTACTTGCTTGGTGTAAGACTTTGCAAATTTCAACAGTGGTGGGAACAATTATGTCTTGTGAGGAATTTAAGAATGTTTCTTCTCCAATGCAGGATATTGCTTGGCGGCAGCTGTGAAATGTTCTGTTGATGGCGTTTCTCTAATTCTATCAGAATCTGTAGAGTTCGTATTGGATACACAAACGTCAGCATCTATGAAAATTAGAATTTAAAAAATATTAGAATTTTATAATTATAAATAAAGTTTCTTTTTACTAATACTTACTTGATTGTTTAATGCCTAGAACAAAATCGGTAGATCCAATAAATTGACTAACAAAATCGGAAAAAAATGCTTGGTTTTATCTTAAATCCCTTAGAGAGAACGTCTACATCAACATCTCCACCTAAACTGTAGCTTCTTCGAACTGCAATGAAAACACAACAAAAATAATAACGTAATAAAACAGACAATTTTGATTGCTTCCACATTTTGCGTTTGTTTTATCAATCTTCTTATATTTACCTTCATCCAAGAACAATTTGTAATTGTTAACTCCGTCAAAGCTAACACAAATAATCTCCTTTTTATCACCAAAAATTGTTTTAATAAACTTTAAACCTTTCACTTTTTGATTTTGTTAAAAACACAACCTTCTCACACAAAAAGAACAGAACAACTGAAGTTAATTCTGTTCTTTTTTTGCAAGCAAAAAACATAACGGGACTCTCATCAAGGAATGCACACATTTGTATGCATGTATGTTTGAAAATGAAGAACCATTGCGTAACAATAACCAGTACATGGTTGCAATAAAAATATCGTGATTGATTTCAAAAATGATATTATTGCAGACCAACGAATACACAAAATATGCATGAAAATACATGAATACGTAGTGTATTTTATAAAACATAATATGATTGCATTAAAAAACTTATTGTTGTCACCGAATAGCAACATACCAAATGACAATGTTATTATTCCTTCTAATCATATCATGTTTAATGCTCGTAAGATTCTGATAATTACATTATGGAAAACAAAAATCGGCCACAGTATCTTTGCTTACAACCATGTAAATGGTTTGTAACCATAAAATACTTTTTTGATGCAAAAAAGTATTGTATCGGCAACTATGAAATAGTTTCTCTGATAATTGTATAGTTTTTCAAAGTAACCATACTTCAGATTTTTTAATGAACAACATTGTTGCGACAAAATATTGATCAGATTTTTATTGTAGAAATAATGATGTGGTTGAAACAAATAAAAACATGCTTGAGGAAAGAATAGTATGACTGCAGCAAATATTGAGTGATTGCGGTGAAAATGTTCAACTATATTTTTTCTCTGCGTGCACATTTTGTAAAGGGCTGTATTTAAATACATTTATAATGTTTCAATGCTATGTATTTTTTATACTCTTAGATTCATATAAATTAGTTTCTCTATTTTTAAACGACATTCAGATCCATAGGAGTGAATTAAAAAAAGAACAAGAATACATTCCTTTAATCTTTCAAAGTATGTTGACTTTAAAATCCATTATAGACATTTAATGAGTATTTGGGGTAAACTATGAGTACCATGGATTCCTTTTTTTGCTATAATGTATCAAGGAATTTTCACAGGAGCCATAATCCATGAGTGTCGATTTTTAAAATTAGTTTTTCCAAAATTTTTATATCATGCTAAAATATGACATATTTTTCATTCCAATGTGTTTTTCTTTTTTGCAAAAAACGAACCTCATAAAAAGTGTTTCATTTTAATTACCCTACAAATGTTAGAGATGTAATTGGATTCATTGATTTTTTTTCCCGTAAAGTTGTTCCATTCGGTTCACATACGCCATGTCATGACATTAATGGGAATGTTTGTTCGACACTCTCAATAAAAAATAACAAAAAAATACTTTCAGGTTATTAGAACTACACAGAAATTCTACAATAGAAACATGATATTTTAATATGTCAAAGACACGCACGTTAGCTGCGAAGAGTTTTCTTAATGAAATTTCCAATTTGTAATTAACTACTACAAAAAAAACAAACTTTAATATATTAAATCTAAGAAAAAAAAAATGGAAAACAAAAAAGTCTTCTGAATAAAATTTGAATACCAAAATAGGCAAAAACAGAACAATGACTTTTGCACGCATGCACCAACCAACCATTTGAAACACTTTATTCATTCATGTCAATTAGTTAAACGAAATTGGTGTTGGCATTTTTCTTGAAATGTTGTGTTTTTTCGCACAGGTATTTAATGTGATATATTAAACTCATGTTTTTGTATGTGTTTTCTTTTCATATTTTCCAGTTCCACCGGAGAAACCAGCCATTTACAAACCCATACGCCATGAAAAGGTCAGCAATGTGGAATCGTTTAATGAAGGCAATGATATTGTGCTGATATGTGAAGTGTCTGGTGGTAAGTTTGAAAATGTTTTTATTTTTTCTGTATTCGTAATTTAATTGTTATCTTTAATATTTTTAATTTAACATATTGCTATTTTTCCTATTTAAATGTGTTTATTTATTTTTTTTTTTGTCTCTGCCTCTAACGATAACAAATTAATTTTTGGTTTGCCATTCTAATGCCCAGCAAGCACCACGTGTGCATAAAAATTGATTAGAATTGTAAATGTTATTTTGTGGTATATATAAAATATATAGCGTGTTATTTTATTTTTAGTTTTTTTATATGTATATTTTGAAAATTTAATTTACCAGAAATATGACCGCATAATAACCAGCTATTTTGGTCAAACACAATCGTGGTAGTGTTAGTCCGACATGCTAAACCCCCAAATTGTGTATATGCTTAGAATTGGAATTAATTAAAAATCCAGTTAAAAATACCAAAAATAAAAATAAAAACACACACAGGACACGTAAAACATGAATTAGTTGTATAAAAATAAAAATAATAACAACTCTATAAATTTTATTTATTATTGTTGTTTTTAATTGAAGCATAAAAAGTAGCCGAACAAAAAACACAAAACATAACAAAAATGATTTTTGGTTTACTTGACTTCTGTATGGGAAACCAAAAACTCAATACTTTATTATTTTCTACAACATATTCGTTTTTGTTTAAAATTTTATCAATTTTATGCAGCCAATAAAATATTTTTGTTGTGATTTTTTTTTTGTAGAAATAAACAATTGATTTTTTACCACATAATTTTTCTAAACAAATTTAATTGCCTGATTTTTGTGTAATTGTTTCTTTTTTTTTGGTTGTGGCAACTTGTAAAGCCATAATTAATAATATTTATATTGCAAATTGCAATGATTAGTTTTTAATTAAGGGTCATAGTAATCGAATATGTATGAAATTCTATAATTTTTAAACCCAGAAACATCAGTTAAGTATTAGGAAATATTTTCACAGCCTATTAGGTATAGAGGATATTATTCTGTGAAGGAAAAAATCGGATATCAGATATATTTCCTATACAAAAACACCGTCAGAAAATTTTGATAGATTTTTTCTTTTTTAGTAAAAAAATCTTAAGAAAAAATAAAATTTTTACTCTTTTGGGACTGCAAGGGGATTAAATATTGTGAGTTCCTTCCATATGACCAAACGCTAAATTTTTATCACAACAACTGGACCGTTTGAAGACAGCAATTGACCAGAAACTTCCAGAAGAGAGGTGTCATGTTCCACCAGGACAACTCTAAGCCACACACATCTACAGTGACTCGCCTGAAAATTGGGGAGCTTGTTTGGGAAGTTTTAATGCATCCGCCATACAGTCCGGACTTGGCACCAAGTGATTATCACCTTTTTCTTCTATTGCATTTTTTTAATGATAAAAAATTGGTATATAGGGAGGATTGTTAAAATCGACTACTAGAGTTTTTTGTAAATAGAGAGCAGGACTTCTATGAGAGAGACATTATGAAGTTACCTTTAAAATGGCAACAAATTTTGTATCTTTAAACGGATTTAAACCATATTTTTCGGATAAAAAGCCACAATCTGCAGTGGAGGAATTTTGTCTGCAGAAAAAAATCACACCTTTAAAAGCTGTCTGTGCAACTCTGAAATATCAAACCTTACACATATGTTAGAAGAAGGTACATTCGAACCATGTCATGTAAATTTACATGTAGGTCTTCAGCTTATTGGGAACCCAACATGCCTAATTATAGGTGGGCCTGGAAATATTGGACAACTATTCAATTACTTAGAATTCCAAAATATGAGAAAAAAGACATTATAAATGGGGGAAAATTCCTCGTTTTCGACCTGTCCGAAATTTTTAGAACTTGCATTTTGAGTTCCTCAAACCTTTATATGGCAAATATCAATATTTCTCTGGGCAAATTAAATACCAAATATGTATACTTAGTATTGGAAATATTTTTTGGAAGACATTTTATATTCCCCAAGAATACACAATGCATGTTACGAATATATTCACAAAGGGTTCAATATCTACACTTTTGGCTCTGTGTTCCTTTCTTAGAAAATGTTTTTGAAAATCCACGCCTCTCTCTCCGATAGAAAATCTTGAAAAAAAATGATTCCAATGAAAATATTCCCGATTTTAAGGAATATTTTCAAAGGACTATCATAAGTGTGGATATATTATCAAAGGACAGAAACGTAGAATTTTTAGTTAATACTTTCAATGTACTACCAAAGGTAGAAATGTAGGTTTTGAACACTACAAAGGGTATTATGATCTATAAAATAAATACTTCTTACTTTAGGCATTTGAAAAATGTTCCTTATATACTCCCTCGAAAAATAATCCAAAAAAGTCCCCGTTAGTATTGCTATTATAAAAAATTTTCTTTTTAAAAATTACGCTTATATAGTCATTTGAAAATAATATTAAGAAAGATAAACTTTTGGGAATTTTTTCTATAAGTAATCCTGGCTTCAGATAGCTCTTTCAAAAATGTGCTTTAAGGGGACCCCCCCCCCCCCCCATTCTCGAGGTTTTAAATCTTCAAATATATATGTGCAAAGTTACAAACCTGAACAAGCATTGGTATTGATTTACCAGCCCATTGAAAATCTTGAAAAATTAAAATCGAGAATGGGTGGGGTTCCCTTAAATATCTCAGACTTCATATAGTTCTTTACAAAATATTTTTGAAATACTCGTTTGCAAAATATATTTTTTTCAATCGATAATCCAGCCTTTGGACAGTTGTTTTTTTTTTAAATTATGCTGAAAATAATATTCCTTATATAGTCTAGTATACACAAAGGCCTTGGAAAACTGTTATTTAAATAATCTTCAGATTGGATGTTTGTCCACGGTATTGAAGTAAGAGGTAGTTTATTTCATCTATCAACTAATTTTCCATTTTTGCCAATTTTTTATGTTTATTATTATTGGCAGCTTTAACCTAGACCCACATTTGATATTTGTCCCACATTTTGCAATTTTATATGATCTTCCATGTTTTATCTCATTCAAAATTATATTTCCATCTTCTTCCTTCACACTTCTTTATAATATTCATGCGTTTCTTTATTCTTTTCCCCCTCCAAACATCATTCCATCCTTCGATAATCCTTAATGAACTACTAGTTACGGTTACAATACATCGGCAATTAGTTAGCAGTAGATCAGAGAGTGTTGAACGACATCAATTTTTTGTAGTAACATCATTTGGCAAATAACTAACAATAACCACGAATTCTATGCAGACAACAAGAACAGGGAGGCTGGCTAGCTGGCAGGCAGGTCAAGCAATGTGTAGGAATATAAAAACGAAAACAAAATATAGAAACAACAAAAATAAAAATAAAACATGAACTGTGTTTGAACTTAACTAACCTAGATGAACTGGAAACAAACAGTTGTCAGTCTTGTCGTATGGCCAATAGAGCAGAGTTCACCAGAATGGAATAACAAACTGAACAGTAGCAACAGCAACAACAATAAAAAAACAGAATAACAATTCTGGTAAATGATGTTAGTTGCTTCAATGGTTGGTCGAATCGACTTGTGTCAAACCCCAACCACCCATCCAATACTTCTTCTTCAGAGTATTCATTGATCCAAACAGCTGGCATAGAATAAAGGATATCTTTTGTTTATGGCAATTCTATTTTCTTGTTGTTGTTGCTGTGTTATTGTTGTTATTTGTCCATCTCCACTGTGTAACTGTTGTTATCTTAATTTAGTGAATGTCTACAATTGATGTAGACGGACTGACTAGCAAAAAGTACAACGGATTGTATACGAATTTTGTTATGCAGTTATGTTCGTGTGTATTTTTGTTGTATAAATATTTTTTGTTATTTTTTATCCTTGTTTCAAAATTTTCTTTCCATCATTGTCTTGTTTATTTTCCTTTCATTTTTTTTTCATTGTTGCTCTATTTCCTAATGTTTACTTACTCTGATACATTTTTTTCTCAATCACTCTCTCCCTTGTCATTTCTTTTGCAGGACGTCCATTGCCGAATGTTACATGGTATTTGGATAATACGGTGATTGATGAATCGTTTGAACATCGTCCGGACGGTAAGACTGTTAACCACTTGTCATATCCAAATGTTGGACGACAACATTTGAATGCCAGATTAGTTTGTGTGGCCAGCAATACGAATTTAACTCCACCGAACAACAAAGTGGTCATACTGGATGTCAACTGTAAGTATCGATTTTTGGTGTGGTGTGGTGTATGTACATATTTATGCTTTATGTTGAGTTTAAGGTTGGACAGAGTGTGTGTGTGTGTTTGATTGAGTAAATGTATGCATATATGGGTATTTAAGTAAACGATTTTGTTCGTTTACTAGAACTGCAGGCTATCGGAATGAATGAATGTATGTAGGTATAAATGAACGAGTTGTTCATATTGATGTGTGATATAACAAGGCTATGCTTGTTATGTCCTCGTTTAATCCTCTTCTTCGTATTTATCTGTGATTGCATTCGCTTGTGGGTCATTCACATAATATGTTGATTTTTTGTTAGTCAATTCATATTGCTGTAGATGATAGGGCTTTAATTGTGATTTTTTTTAAATTTGAGGTGTTTATAAAAACAAGTAAAACTTGCATTAAATTTGGTCGGGCCGGGACATTCAAAATCCCTAACATCGATTGGGACATGTCTATGGGGTTTATGTAAATTTTAGGTAGATTTGACATCCAATGAAAACCCTCAGTATCAAAGAATATTCAATTTGTCCCTAAGATACTGAATAATTGGGAATATCGTTATATCGGGCCTAACTCGAAACTTAAGACAATACTGACAATTTTTGGTAGGCAGATGTTTTATATAATTTGCTACTACAGCCCTGTTGGTTGTCAAATACCGTCATTTGTGAAGAATCATAATATAAGGGCTACCCTGAAAAATATACCAATATTTTGTGAAGGGAGATATATATCATCGACAACAATTCCTTTTTTAGCTTAGTCTTCAATTTTTAAAACTTCAAATATTCAATCAGTTTTCAAAAACATTTATTCAAATATAACTTTTTAATAACCTACCCATCTAATCACTCTGTGATTAATTAATTTCTGTTTTACAGTTTATTTACCTACTTTTATTTAATGACTGTCTATTGACCTCTGAACCACAATAGACCCTCACTGAAAATAAAAAAAAAAAAACAATACAACAGTTGTTGTTGCATTCCAACAAGCAAAAAAAAAACACAATTCTCTAAAAAATCGCGTGACATTTAAAACTTATTTTGCAATTTTGTTGTATTTGCACTATTCCATCACCATACAACAAAACGAAACTAAAGGAGGGAAACAAAAAAACAGATATTCAAAACAAAAACCCATCATTGTAAGATCTTATTCACTGCAGTGTCTGTACGGATGCATTCTGCCAACAGTATGCGTGCTTCTGATGTTAAAGTTTAAGTGTCAACATTCAGACATTTCGTGTTCACATAAAATTTATTATTTCATTCATGCAAAATGAACTCAAACTAACGAACCAATGATCGAAACACCACATAGCACGTTTGTCATGTGGTTAAGGCATGGCGTGACGTTTTCCGTTTTTTTACAGTTAAGCCGTGAATTAAGTTTAGCTTTTAATAATCAACATCGGTCGATAACTTTGTTTAAAGAAGGTTAATCGTTTTGTAGTTATTTTTGCTTTTCAAAATAAATAAGCAAAAATAAATAAACGTAAACAAATGTTGTGTGTCTGATGTTGTCCAATAGGCTTAGGGAGTTTCAGTTGTCACTGAAATATTCGATAAATTTTCTATCTCAATTTAAAGATTTTGTAGATTGCCAATAAATGGAGAAAGTCGAATTAAGTTTTTATTTCTTATTCTTATAATTTATTTCTTTCTTTGTGAAATTCTGAAATTTCAACTTTAGATCGATTTTTACGTTCGATATCTAGTTGTAATTAATTCCGAGCTTGGAATTGTATTTTTTAATTTTTTTTAATTCCTTTAATTCCTAGTTTCAATCATTAATTTATAGGGTTACGGTAACAATACATCGGCAATTAGTTAGTAGAAGATCAGACAGTGTTGAACGACATGAATTTTTGTAGTAACATTATTTGGTAAATAACTATGAGTAACGACGAATTCTATGCCGACAACAAGAATTGGCAGGCTGAACGGCTGCCTGACAGTTCCGATCAGACAATTTGTAGGAATATAAAAACGAAAACAAAATATAGAATTAAAAAAAAAAACACATACACTGTGTTTGAACTTAACTAACCTAGACGAACTGGAAATAAACAGTAGTCAGTCCAGATCGATTTTTATTTGGGATATCTAGGTGCAATCAATGCCGATAGTTTTTACTTGATTTTTTTTATTCAGAAATTATGGATAGCTGTAGTGCTTGAAAAAAATTGTTTCCAAAACCTAGTTGAATTTCAATAGAAAAAATTGCTTTATATATTGGAGTCAGTCCTCAGTGTCTCGTGTTCGATAGAGTTTTGGTTGTTGTAAAAATAGAAATATCTTAGAAATACAAATTTCTTGATAATACATCTTAATTACCAGAAGGAACTAAGCTATCTAGCTAAATAGCCTATATCTGAGTTTGTTCTTTCATTGTCGCACACGATCAATAGCATTTTGCAAAGTTTGGATCCATTAGCTTCACCTGATGCTTTAATATTTTAAAATCTTGACATTTTTGTGGAGGTTGTACCAAAATAAATTATGTATACTAAATATATAACTGAATAATATAGGGTACTGCCGATTTCAAATGTTCCGGTGGAGTGCATATTAAAATTTGTCCTGTCGCTTCAAACATCTCGATCCCTTTATATGGCATTTGTTCTCTCTAAGCTTGTAGAAATTTGGTGTTCTTAGTGAATTCCTTCAGTCGCTTTACATCTGCTGCATTGTACGCACCCAATATTGTGTAAATGAGTTAAAAGGGTCCCATACAATATTAGATGTTATTATACTTCTAGCCTAATTTTTTAAGCGGCTTGGCTATATGTAGCCATTTTTAGAGGATACAAATTAAAGTGGTTGTAATATGTTACCCGAGGTTAAAAAAATCCGTGTAGAAAATATTCGATATAGGTACTGATTTCAAGAATTTAATGGTTCCAGCTGCATTTTTAAGCGCTTCTAATTGGAAAATATCTCTTACCAGGATATTTCCACATCGGTTACTGTTTTAGCATAGTCTTCAAATAAAAGGTCCAACCCAGTTTGGAAGTTCTAGATGCATTTTCAACTGGATGTAATTTGGCATTTGTGAACAATTTCTGTATCGGGATTTTTTTCTTCTATTTTGACACATCTCCAAATATAGAACCCGGCTCTTTTTCTGTATTTAAAATTTTTCATCCGCATTTACCAAATAGAAGCAGCTGTAATATAGAATTCCGCATATTGCATCTACAGAAAATTAACAATATAGTTCCGTATTTCGTGTTAGTTTAATGGGCACATAGGCTATTTTATGTATTTTGAAAGCCAACCTCTTGGTATAAAAGGTTCAGTCGGACTTAAGTCGGACCACGAAAATCAGACCACGTAGACCACGTAGGCCTAGAATACCTGTAGAAAGTCAGATACTTTATTTAGACCTTCTTAAAAAATACTTCTATCGATATCTATGATATGTAAAAGTCCTCTCCTTTCTATTCCACAAAAAATGCGTTTTTATACACGGCATCGGTACAGGTATTGGTGTAACCCCCATATAAGGGTACTTCCCAATATTGAATATTTTTCTTATTTATGACACGTTTTTCAACTAACTTGGCTGTAATTAAGTTCTCATTGTATATCACATGTCCGTACAAAAATTGTTAACATTGAACCAAGTTTCAGGGTATCTCCCACACAACGGTACCCCACAATATTCGTTATTTAGAGGATTTTGAACACGCGTTTCCCACGGAATTGGCTGTAATTTTGTATTTTGGATTCTTTATGCCTAGTACATCTCCATACTAAAAATTTTTAATATTGTCCCTATATACGGTACCTCACAATATTGGGTATTTTTGTGATTTTCGACACGTTTTTCAATCAAATTGGCTTGGGTTTTCATTGCATATTGAGCCAAGTACATATAACGATATCCCCACATATCTTTACTAAAAATGATTTCACTACCCAAAATATCAATATTGATTTCCGTTTTGGTATAGCCCCCATTGAACGCTAGTCCCCAATTATGTAATCATCGTTTTCTCACGTCATTTTCGGTATATTCAAGGTCCTATCATAACATGAGTTTTCTAATAGGAGCCCCATTTATTTTACATATTTTGAATTTCATCCTCATGGTTTAGGGCATAAAAAGTTCGGCTGGGCAGAACATAACATAATTTTAACTTGTTCTTTATAGGACTCAATTCAAATCCTTTTCAGAGTATTCAATGTATAGGTCTCTCCATATATAGAATGTCATGGCATTCCATGTACAGAGCTGTATATCAAAAGAAAAAAGGTGTGTGTGTTTCTGCTTAAACTCTGAATACAAGTGTTGGAATTTCTATCTATAGGAGACCATTGTAGGTCCTACCATTAGAAACTTTTTATAAGGTTTCCTTTCTATAGACCAGATTCCAAAGATCTTTCAAGAAAAAAAATATTTCTTCTGCCGAAGACCTCTTCTAAACATTTACAATAAACATATTTTAAGCCAATATAAAATTTCTTAATATTCTGACAAAAAATCATTTAGTTTCTTAGTCAAATTATTCTCAGTAAAGTAATTGGGCTTTTTAGAGTATTTTTTCGCTTCTTTTAACCAGTGTATGTATTTGCCTATTTTTTCCCAGACAATCATAAACCTACAAGTATCATCGAATCACTAAAACCAAACCAAAACCATATTTATGTAAACGTTTTAAAACCAAGTTCAACAACATATATAATTAATATTAATTTGTTGCTGCTTTTTTCTTCTTCTCTTGTTCTTTTTTCTAGTAAAACCGATTGCTGTACATATAATGACAAAAGACCGATTTGTTTCGGCCGATCGCACATATGACATCGAATGCAAGTCATCCGGTTCAAAACCACAAGCCGTCATTACATGGTGGAAGGGCAATAAACAATTAAAAAAGCTAACAAAAAATGTAAGTGAGCAAAAAAAAAAAACTAATAACAACAACAGCAATATACACACAAAGTAGAAGTGATAAGTAATGTTGTTATTTGCAGACAAAAAACAATAATTATTATGTTTTAAAAACAGACAATTACAAAAACCAATAAAACATTAAAAAAACTTAACAACATACTTTAGTTAGTTAAACAAAAAAAAGAACACACATAATACAATTGTGGGAGAAACCAATCTGCAATACTAGAAAATTAATGTAATATTAATGAAAACATGAAATAATTAGTTTAATTTAAATGAAATTAATTAGTTTTTGTAGCAATGTTTTTAACACCACTTTTTACATGGTTTTAAGTTATTACCCAGTTTTTTCATTCGTTTTATACCATCGACTGAATAGTGGCCACCGACACTAACAGCTGATGCTATTAAACGGGTCATTCATACAAACGATAATGATGAATAAGCGAGAGACACGAACGAATACTCAGACACACATACACCCACACAAAAGTGAAGAGAGCATGAAAATAGTGACATTAAATGAATACTCATAAAATCAAAATGACCCACATTAAGGACAACCCACTAACACAAATATACATCAGAGCAGCACATATTGTGACATATTGTCCTGCTCGGTGACTAATAATAGCCAGGGCACCACACTACACCACACCCCACCCCCCTCTCAGTCACCTTCACACCCACGCTGACACTTTCATTTATAATTTGCACACCCTTGACGCGCTCTATTCACACAGACCTTAATTGATAAAATGTCACTTTATGTGTGTGTGTGTTGTTGTTGTCTGCACTTTTCCTTTTTATAATAACAATAATAGTGGCCATTCATAAGTCACTGTGATAGTTTACTGTGTCAATAACTGCTGCCACTACTTATACTATGGTCGACAATATTCATTGAAAGTATTTTGTTAATTTACCATTGTTTCTGTTCTTAATTTCTTTTCATATATTTCCATGACCACCTTCCCCGCAACCATGTGTATTCCTCCCACCCATCCACCGGCAATGGGTGTCGTTTTAACAATACCACAATACATGTTTCCAGTTTAATGAACCCGACAATCAATCCTTAAGTATATTAACATTCACGCCTACCCGAGAAGATGATGGCAAATATTTAACATGTAGAGCGGAAAATCAATTTATTGAGAACAGTGCCATTGAGGATAAATGGCGTCTGGTTGTACACTGTAAGTATGAAATGAAAAAAAAAAAACAGTAAGGAAAGTAGTAAAGTCGGACGGGGCCGACTATATGATACCCTTCACCACTATGGATATATTAAACAGGACTATTAACATGAAATTGGATGAAATAAAATATGTGATATTTATCTAAATGTGAATCTACCTATGTATCCATAAGTTATATAAATCGACTTCAATCAAATATAAATAGGTTATCTGTTGGGCTATGTCTGTACTTCTAGAAAACGCAACTACGTAATTCTATGCTCAATTTTGTACGTTGTGCAAAATTTGATGTCAACCTGACTAGCATGAAGAGTTTGATGTCCAATTTACTTAAAATCGGGCGAAAATATATATGGAAGCTCTATCCAAATATATCGAAGGATATATAGGGACTTTGGTGCACCATTTACATGAAATCGGACGAAACTATATCTGAATCTGGGCCGATTTTCTCGAAACTGGGCAGACATCATTCTAGGCTCAATTCAGTACGTTATGCCAAATTTCCTGCAAATCGAAAGATATATAGGGACTTTGGGGCACCATTAACATGAAATCGGACGAAACTATATATGGGAGCTATATCTAAATCTGGACCGATTTTCGCGAAACTGGGCAGACATCATTCTAGCCTCAATTCAGTACGTTATGCAAAATTTCATGCAAATCGAAAGATATATAAGGACTTTGGTACACCATTTACCTTAAATCGGAGGAAGATATATACGGGAGCTATATCTAAATCTGAACCGATTTTCACGAAACTTTGCACACATCATTCTAGACTTAATTCAGTGCGCTATGCCAAATTTCGTGCAAATCGAAAGATATATAGGGACTTTGGTACGCCATTTACCAAAAATCGGCCGAAACTATATATGGGAGCTATATCTAAATCTGAACCGATTTTCACGAAACTTGGCACACATCTTTCGTGGCTCAATTCAGTACGCTATGCCAAATTTCATGCAAATCGAAAGATTTTCAGGGTCTAAAGTCCGTAAATCGGGCGAAACTATATATGGGAGCTATATATAAATCTGAACCGATTTTCACGAAACTTGGCACACATCTTTCGTGGCTCAATTCAGTACGCTATGCCAAATTTCGTGCAAATCGAAAGATTTTCAGGGTCTAAAGTCCGTAAATCGGGCAAAAATATATATGGGAGCTATATCTAAATCTGAACCGATTTTTCCCAATTCCAATAGGGTTCGTCCTTGGGCCAAACAAATGAGCTGTGCCAAATTTCATCCAAATCGGATCATAAATGCGACCTGTACTTTGTTTACAATTTAACATGGACAGACGGACGGACGGACGGACATGCATAAATCGACTCAGAAAGTGATTCTATGCATATTCCCAAAAGGAACCATGGGTCTATCTCGATTATTTTTGCCTGTTACAAACATATGCACAAAGACATAATACCCTGTACCACAGTGTGGTGAAGGGTATAAAATATATATATATATATTTATTTGCAAATTATTGAATATATATTAAATTTATTTTAACAAATATTTAAAACACTCGAATCGTATATATCAAATATTTTATAGAAATGATAACTGTATGCTATTTATTTAAAAATTGAAAGAAAGCCTATTTTGTAAAGGAGACCTTAAAGAACAACAGATTATAGAAGACTACCGTATATTGAAGATGTTCGGTAGGTCTCCGTTCCCTAACAGATATTTTCACGTTAGAAGTTCTCTGGAAATTTTTCAAATATAAGTCCTACAGAAGGTCATAGAGAAACAATAATTTCCCTGGAAATATTTTTATTGAAAATCTTTGGTAGGCTTTCTATCTACAGATGCCTCTTTACAGGTCATATACCTATAGAAGACCCCTGGAATATACCTATAGAATACCCCTAGAATATACCTATAGAAGACCCCTATCCTACAGAAGGTCATATAGAAACAATTAGCAATTTCTCCCAGGAAATATTTTTATTGAAAATCTTTGGTATGCTTTCTATCTACAGATGCCTCTTTACAGGTCATATACCTATAGAAGACCCCTGGAATATATTTCTACGGAGGACTTTGAAAATATGTTTTATATAAAATATTTACTGAAAAACTTTTAGCTTCGAAATATATAAGGAAATATTTTTTTAGTTAAAAATCTCCTGAAGGCGCCATCTAGATGTATTTTAAAGAGAGAAACTGAAGATATCTAGACGAGATTTTCGCTCTTCGCGATTGATTGAATGACTAGAAAAAACTTTGTCTGCAAACTATCTCTAAATAGTTTTTATTCATTTCAATTCCCCTCGAAGGCTTTCTTCATTTAGAAGACATCAGGACGAGATTCTCTCTCGATGGGCTCAGATAGGTATTGTGTAGAAGTTATTCAGAAATATTAGTTTTGTATTCTTTTGGAGATCGCTGGTAGATTTTCATTCTACCAGTGGCATGCAATTCGTTAAAAGCCAATTTATGGGTGACTTTCACATGATATTTTATATTGAAGACAGTCCTGGCGGACGTTTTAATTTCAGAATATATATTTTCTTTAGAATAAGTAATAAAATAAATAAATAAATCTTAACAGACTTCTTTCTCTAGTAGACCTGTGGAAGAGTTTCGTGTTTTAGAACACGGGTTTCTCTCTCCGTAAGACCTCAAAGCATCCAAAAACCTCAGTTCAATCTTCTGCGAAAATGCAAAATATCTCGGCTTAACATTTGAAGATCCACTGAAAATTTATTTAAAATACATCTGTGCAAGATTCTCGCAGGCATTCTATTGGAGTACATTGATAGGATTTATTTCGTTTTTCGAAAATACCTCTTGATGGGGTTCTCTCCCTAGAAGACCTCACATAAATCGTAAAACCTCAATCCAATATTTAATGAAAATGCATACTGACGGCCTTGTGAGGAAAATTTTTTAGAATGACTATTGATATACTTCTTTCTCTCTCTCTCTCTCTCTCTCTCTGGAAGACATCTGGAAGAGTTTTGTGTGTTAGAACACGGTTTCTCTCCGCAAAACCTCTAAACACCCAAAAACCTCAGTTCAGTCTTGTACGAACATTTCTATTATAGGGAGCCATAGTAACCTTGGCAAATTTACTATCTACAAAATATCTCGGGATATCCTTTGAAGATTCACTGAAGGTTTCTTTAAACGACCTCTGTGAAAGATTCTTGCAGCTATTCCGTTGGAGTACATTTGTAGGATTCGTTTCGGTTTTTAGAGTTTTTTCTCTCTAATGGTTTTTTTCCTCTAGAGAGCCTCTTATTGATCCACAAAACCTCAGTCCAATATTCTATGAAAAAGTATTTAGTAGATGGACTGAGTATACAGAATTTCATTTCGGAGCGGCTTGTCGGGGCTCTGGGCGATATTATCTCTTTAAAATACCTTTGATAGATAAGAGTTATGCAGTATTATCAGTCCGGTATTCTATCGCAGATCATTGATAGGTTTTGATAGTTTGAATAAAACGAATTGATCTGCTCCAGAATTTTAAAAAATATGTCGGTATAGTATTTTATCATCGAAAACATCGCACACATACAGATACCTTTCTTCAGAAGACCTGTCGATGGGATTCTTGCTTTAGACGACCTCTGATTGCTGTTTACGCAGAAGTAAACCTGAAACCTTCTATCAAAGATCTTGAGGATTTTTATAAACTTTAAAAAATTCTCCAGAAGGACTGCGGTTTGCAGTTAAGCTTTTATACGGTCTTCTCATTCAAAGCGATCTCCATCATTTTTTCTGTAGACGTAATCCAGAAGGTCCTTTATTTATAGAATATCTCAGAAGGATTTCCAATTATAGAAATGTCCTCTGAAGCTAATTAATTCGAAACATCTTTTATCTAAATGTGTTGTCTAAAAGATTTGTTTTCTTAAATTTCAACCTTCTAAAAGGACTCTATTTTTCATCAGCCCTTTTTAAGAGTAATGTGATTCAAGGGTTTCTTAGTATCCCAAAAGAGGTTGTCTAGTATCACAAAAGAGGTTGTCTCTATAGGACTTTCTTCTAATGAACATCTCTTGAAAGTTGTATAATCCTCTATCTATAGGTGAGATCTGTTAGCTCCTATTTTTTGTAAAAGATCTCTGTTTTGTGTTATATTTATCTTGAAGGCCTTCTGGCAATAGGCCTGATGGATCCTCTTCAAATGTAGAAGTTGACGATATATTTTATATATTACCTTTAAATGCATGAGGACTAGAGAAAAGAAATCTGGTCCTTTTAAGAACCCAAGATATTTCAGATAGTTATAAACGAAATTATACTTAATAAAGAATATCGTCAAAATCGTCCTCGATCCACTGTTTCAATCTACAAAAATGGATTTGGCTTGGTAGAAAAAAAAAACTCACACACACCAACAACTTCCACCATTTACATATATAGAAAAGACATTTTACTTAATTTATTTAGCGGATAGACACAAAGACGGTTGGTGAATGAATACGGGGTGCAAATTGCAACAAACGACATAGTCTGCTCTTTAGCAAGACAAGAAGGAAGAAGAAGAAGAAAAAATCGGCAAAGGAAAGACATGAAGAGGAATATAAATTAACATAAATAAATTTACACTTTCAAAAGAGGGAGCCACACACACACACAAAACAACTCTTGGAAAGCCACTCATCACACACACACAGATTCAAAGAATACAAAAAACAACTCTCTTTCTCTCATATGACCCCAGAGACAACAAATTACCGGGCAATGGGAAATCTGGGACAAAGGCAAAAAAGGAAAGCTTTCTCCATGAAATGAAAGCAAAACAAAACAAAAGGCGGCAGACCAACGCCAACAGCAGTCACGCTATTTGAGGTTAAATACTTGTTGTTGTTGCTCCTGCTCCTGCTGCTGTTTTTGTTTTCTTCCCTGTCCAGACCGGGCGACCATCCATCCATTCACATTCATTCAAATACTTTGGGTAGGTCCAAGCAACAGCCACAAACAAACTGGCCCCATTTGACCGTCTGTATTTACTTGACAATGGACTCG